CCAAACCCTTCCAGTATTTTCCGTTGGTTGTGGGAGTTCTGTGTGCCAAGTTTGGTTTGATTCTATCGTCGGTGGAGTTCAGAATGCTCTTTGATGGTAGATGAACTATAAATCCCAGCAACTACAACTCCCAAATGACAAAATCCCCCCAACCCCACCAATATACAAATTTGGGCATATTGGGTATTTTTGCCAAACTTGGTTAAGTGAATGAAAACACATCCTGCATATGAGATATTTACATTACAGTTCATAACAGTAGCAAAATTACAGTTATGAAGTAGCAACAAAAATAATTTTAGGGTCGGGGGTCACCACAACATGAGTAACTGTATTAAGCGGTCAGGGCATTAGGAAGGTTGAGAAACCCTGAGTTAGAGAGTGTAGGAACCTAGAGCAAGCAATGCGAATGAGGCATCAGCACCATGGACAGGGAAAGTAGATGCTGAACAGAGTATGTATCCATCCTTAGTTGTTGTTCCAGCAAAGGGCAATAGGCAGCTTTGCTGCATTGCTTTATTGTGTGTTATGTTGCCTCTTGGGGAATGGTTATCTTACCTTCAGGGTCCTGAACTATACAGTCTTTGTTGCTGGTAAATCTTTGGGTGATTTCGTTGCCATCAGTCAATCTGTCGCAGCGCAGAAGGTGAAATATTGGAGTCTGTTGAAAGCTTTTGAAAACAAATAACTAACATCTAAGGAGGCCAAGAGTAAAACTATCCTTCGGGGTCAGCAGTGGTTATTCTGCAATATTTGAGTAGCACTTTCTGTAGTCTTCCACGAAAGAATCCATGGCAAAGAGTTCCCCAGATGCTAGGAATAACAGGAAAGATGGAGTGGCTGAAAACTTCAGGGTTTTACTGAGTCCTTGTCTTGATACCAAACTTTATCTTGATACTGAACTGCAACACGGTCTCACAATCTACATGATCTGCTAAGCAATCTTAGCACTTGCTTCTCCTCAGCTGGTTAAGGCTTAGCTGGTGGATGGACAGATAAATTTAACATTAGGCCTGCTCTGCAAAATAACCATGTAGGCTGGGCAGGTTCTCTTTGTGGTTCTGTCTTTCTTCCTCCATTTCCTAATACACTTTCTCCCTGTCTTCTTTTCCTTCCTTCCTTCCTTCCTTCCTTCCTTCCTTCCTTCCTTCCTTCCTTCCTTCCTTTCTCTTCCCATCTTTTTTATCTTCCTTTCCTTCTTTTGTTTCTTCTTTCCTTCTGTTTTATTTCCCCTTCTTTTTCTTTCTTTTCTTTCCCTCATACTTTTCTCCCTTCTTTTCCCTCCCTCCCTCCTTCTTTCCACCCTTTTTCTTTTTTCCATGCTTACCTGTCCAGATCATATGCTCCAGACTTGGAACACATGTCTAGAGCATGTGTTCCAAATTTGGTCCAGATCCAATAAGCCATGGAGAAGCCTTTGTGGCCCAAACTTGGGTGTTATTGGGATTTCTGTGTGCCTACTTTCTTCTTTCTCCAGCTTTGACAAGGGCCTATCCCACAATGTCTCCTTGACAATGCTCTGGCAGGGCTGGGTAGGTTCTCTTTGTGATTCTTTCTTCCCTCCTCCATTTCCTAATACACTTCCTCTCTGTCTTCTTTTCTTTTTCCCCTTCCTTCCTTCCTTGCTTACTTTTCTTAATACTCTTTCCCCCTCTTCTTTCTGTCTTCCTTTTTCCCCCTCCCTCCCTTCCTTTCTTCCTCTTCCCTTCTCTTTTATCATCCCTCCTTTCTTTTGTTCCTTCTTTCCTTCTTTTTTATTTTATTTCCTTCCTTCCTTCCTTCCTTCCTTCCTTCCTTCCTTCCTTCCTTCCTTCCTTCCTTCCTTGTCCTCATACTTTTCTCTCTTTCCTTTCCTTTCCCTCCCTCCCTCCTTCTTTCCACCCTTTTCTTTCTTCCATGCTCACCTGTCAAGATCATATGCTCCAAACTTGGAACACATGTCCAGAGCACGTTTTCCAAGTTTGGTCCAGATCCATCAAGCCACGGAGAAGCCTTTGTGGCCCAAACGTACAAACCAACCGACCAACATAATATGTCCAACTGTGACTATTATATATATAGATGTACTGCAGGCACATGGCTGCCACTTGACACTGAAAATCTGTGCATCTCTCCCTCAGCATCTTTCCAATCCTGCCAAACATCTACCAGACGGTAGAGAAGGAGGAGAAGGGGAGTTGGGAGGGGTGTAAAAGACTTATTTATTGGAGCTGTTCTTAACTGAGATTTCATGGATGGCTCTGGGAATTGTAGCTCTGCAAAGTAACTTTCTCAAGCTCTGAGTCACTGGCCAAACTCGGAACAAGAGTGTTCTCCATGGAGGCTTTATGTTGTATCTCTTTGGGTTGTATCTCCAGCAACAGAGATTTCAGTTCCAAAGGCCAAGATGAACCCATGGACTACTTATATCCATGGGACCCCTTGGCTACTGCTAGGTGTGCCAAGAGGTTCAATGGCATAAGGGAGTTCCTGTGAAGAGCTTACCTGGTTTGGCAGGTGGAAGCTGAGGAAGGGAACGGCAGCTCCGGGGTGTTGCTTCAGCCTCACCCTAATGAATGTCACGAGCATGAGGTAATCATCTGAGAGCTGAAATGTCAACTCTTAATCCTCCGGTGTGTTTTTAATCCGGCAAAACGTCGCTCCTTGAAGAAGTGTGATTGCAGCCTTAACTTTGTGGTGTGCATCTTAAAATCCTTACTCTTTAATTAATCTGTTTGGTCTTTCCGAATTGATTTCTTCCCTAGCCTTCTTGTCGTGTGTGCATGCTGGTTAAATCCTAGGTTTAAAGGGCTTCTGCAGGGATGTCTTTATTTTAAAAGGGCACGTTTGAAGATGTTCCAGTTTTAGTGTGCGTTTCCGCGCAAGCTTTTCTCTCTTTTCCTCCTCACATGCTGTTTTTGCTTCGGCAATGCATCCCATGATAGTTGGTCGACTTTATTTCTGCGGAAACTAGAAAAGGCCTTTGCAGAGGGGTGCAGGTGCATCATTCTCTGAGGCTTTGAAGCATTAATTAAACAAAGAAATTAAATAATAGTTAGAACAACAATGCAATAATTTTTTAAAAATAAACAATTTTTAACATATTCTACATTGTATTGTCAAAGGCTTTCATGGCCGGAATCACTAGGTTGTTGTGTGTTTTCTGGGCTTTAGGGTCATGTGCCAGAAGCATTCTCTCCTGATGTTTCACCTGGATCAATGCAGGCATCCTCAGACATTGTCAGGTCTATTGGAAACTAGGAAAATGGGTTTTATATATTTATGGAATGTCCAGGGTGGGAGAAAGAACTCTTGTCTGTTTGAGGTAGGTGTGACTATAGCAATTGGCCACCTTTAATTTAATGGCCTAACAGTTTTCAAGGTCTGGCTTTTTACTGCCTGGGGGGAGCCTTTGTTGGGAGGTGATTAGCAATCCCTGATTGTTTCTTGTCTGGAATTCTCCTGTTTTCTACATTGGCTTATCATGTGAAGACATAGTAAAGTAACCAAGCTTAATGTTGTAACTACACAAGCTCAATGAAAAAACTCAACTTAAGGTGCATCTGCATTGTAAGATTAATGCATCACTTTTTAAATTCTCATCACTCAATGCAGTGGTAGGACAAGCTTACCCATGTTCTACCAAACTACACACCCCAGGGATTGTATGGCATTGAGTCATGAAGTGTCAATTTGCATTAATTCTACAGTGGAGATGCATCCTTAATCACAACTGGTTAAAGTGGCCGGTCAGTGAGTCCTGAAGACATGGGCAAATGGTCAAGATAGAAGGAGACCCATATTAGTCCACTTCTTGGACTAAAACCCTCAAACCCTCTTATTGTTGTATTGTCAAAGGCTTACATGGCCGGAATCACTGGGTTGTTGTGAGTTTTCAGGGCTGTATAGCCATGTTCCAGAAGCATTCTCTCCTGACATTTTGCCTGCATCTATAGCAGGCATCCTCAGAGGTTGTGAGGTCTGTTGGAAACAAGGTCTGTTGGAAATATTTCACAGATATATAAACCCCATTTTCCTAGTTTCCAACAGACCTCACAATCTTTGAGGATACCTGCCATAGATGCAGGTGAAACATCAGGAGAGAGTGCTTCTGGAACATGGTCATGTAGCCGGGAAAAATCACAACAATCCTATGAGCTGAAGGTTTTATCACCTAACCTGTTCATGCTTGACTTTCTGGGTTGGAATGATGAAAACCTTTGACTGGAGCTGGCCGGGAGCATTAAAGTTGAATCCATACTCCCTATCATTTCAGGCCATGCATGGGCTCAAGAGCTGCCACATTACCCATGTGTGTCCGGCTGCAGAAGATACAACTTGGCCAGCAATGTGTGCTTTTAAATACTGCATCAGAGCTGTGGGTTCCTCTCTCAGCTGCCGCATCCGGTTAGGTGTTTCCTGTCCATTGAGTAACTTAGCTGGGGAGTTTCTGCACTTAAAACAGACCCGGCAATGTTCATCCACGCATCACCCGCGATCATGGGAGATTTTTATTTCTTTGCCACTACAGGAGCTCAGGGCTGTACATGTCGCAGCAGGCTGAATTGTTGGGGCTGCTGTTGTACTTTGTCTCTTCCGATTACGTTCCTCTGGCGGAGAAGGTGCTCCTGTGCTTCCCCTCCCTGCAGATCTTGCCTCTGGTATAGCTCTGGCTGTGATCTGCTCAAGTTCCCCCCTTTGTCCTCACTTTGTTTCACAAGGAACAGTATTACTTACGCTTGTAGGAGGATATGAACAAGGAGCACATGTAATTTCCTGCACACCTGAGGGCTGCCTCCAGTTCTTGCTGCCTTATTGTCTGCCGAGTGCTAGGATCAAAGGATGGCATGGCTGCTCCGTGGGAAGAAAAACACCCTCCTGCCGCAGCCCCTTCCTCCCCGTGGTATGACAGCCCTGTTGTGGATCCTGCCCGAGGCTTGCGATGCTGCCTGGGTTGAGAGAGCCCTTTGCTTCGGAGAGTTAACTTTGCAGAATGTTTCACTTTCCTTTCTTCCACCCAGCAGTTCGACATTCAAAGACTTGGAGGGGAACAGCCTGAAGGACAGCGGGCACGAAGAGAGTGACCAGACAGATAGCGAACATGACGTCCAGCGTGGCCTGTACTGTGACACGGCTGTGAATGATGTCTTGAACACCAGCGTCACCTCCATGGGGTCTCAGGTGCCTGAACAAGGTAGGCTGTGTTGAGTTCTTTTACAGGGCCCACATATGATTCTGCATACGCAATGACCAGTTGTTGTTGGTGACCTCTTGTGTTTCCACCGCCATCATCCTTTGCCCTTGGATAATGATGCCATGGGATGTGCATGAACATGTGCACTGCTTAGGAGGAAGGCCTCAGTAGGTGAACACTGGCAAAAAGAGAATGTCCTTCCTGAGAAGAAAGTGAAAAGGCCTATAAGATAGTTCAGTGGTTCTCAAACTGTGCTCCAGGGAACCCTTGGGGTTTCGCGAGAGGTGCTCAGGGGCTTCGTGGGTGCCCCACGTCCTATGGGGTTTGTGCTATTATTATTATTATTATTAACCTCTTTAAATTGTTTATTTATTTATTCAAATAGACATACATTTGCAAGTGTTTGTTGCGTATTGTGCAATACTTTCCATCTATTAGTGTTCCATAGCTATTTCTCAGATAATATATTTCCTTTAAGGGGGCACAGTCTACTATTTATATAATACATATAAAAGTATCATAGACTCTTGTTTAACATCCTCTTTGTCTACAGTCTTATAGGATCCTCTATATAGAGAGATAAGGAAAGAACTAGTGGAATGGAACAAACAAGGGCTCTCCCTGTTAGGGAGGATATCATACATTCAGATGACAACATTACCCAAAATGTTATTTTTGTTACAAAACATAATTTTGGGGTATTTCCCCCCAAAATTTGGCAAAAAGTTACCTCAAAATTTATTTGGGCTGGGAAAAAACCAAGAGTAAAAATGAAGCTACTTAACGATGATAAAACAAGAGGACGGCCTTTCTCTTCCAAATTTACAACTCTATTTTCACGTGTGCTGTTTCGACTGGATTAAAGAATGGGTAACCCTAGAAGACAATGAGTTACTAGATTTGGAAGGCATAAATCTTCTTTTTGGATGGCATGCATTTTTGGACATTATTATTATTATTATTATTCGATACACAACAAGCTTAGTATACAGCAAACAAGATCACTATGCTGGCTGTTGTATTAGATCACATGCCAGACACTTCCCAAGTGTCTAAAACTATGTATCAGAGTATAATGCGTGCAGATCTGAGTAGGGTGGCTTTTTGCAACTGAAAGAGAGTAATTTTATCCATGCCTATTGTTTTTATGTGCTGGCCAAGGTCGTTAGGCACTGCACCCAGTGTGCCAGTCACCAATTAGACCACCTTCACTGGCTTATGCCAGAGTCTTTGTGCACTGCTTAGGAGGAAGACCTCAGTAAGTGAACACTGGCAAAAGAGAGTGTCCTTCTTGAGAGGAAAGTGAAAGGCCTATGGAATAATTTTGCGGATCTCAAACTGTGCTCCGGGGAGCCCTTGGGGCACCGTAAGAGGTCTCGGGCTCTGTGGGTGGTCCACCTCCCCTGGGGTTTCTGTTGTTACTACTACTACTACTTATACTACTACTACGACTGGATGACCATCTGTTGGAGGTGCTTTGGTTGTGTTTTTCCTGCATGGCAGAAGGGGGTTGGACTGGATGACCCCAGGGGTCTTCCACTGAAATACTGTTAAGTGTATGTTGGTTAAAATTATTCTTTGTTTTTAAATATTGTATTATTATTATTATTTTGCTCCCTGTGAATTAGTTCACACAAACACTCTCCATCCATCTGCCACTGGCCTGGCCCATGCCTGATTGATACACACACACACACACACACACACATATACACACATACATATAATATAATATAATACAATATAATATATAAACATTTCTTGGGGCTTCATGAGAAACTTTTGCTTCAAAAAAGGCTCCACAGCTGAAAAAGTTTGAGAACCCCTGGAATAGTTCATACTAGGGCTGGGTAACCACGGAAAAATTTGTTTCTAAACTCGATTCATTTCCAGGGGGCGCTAGCATTCCCAAATTCTAAATACTTCCAAAATTTTGAGATTTCAAAATTTCGTTATTTACGAAATTTCGTTAATTTCGAATCGATTCGTTAATGGCGGACGCGATTGCGCAATATACTAAAAAACCCTCCAAATGGGACGGGGGAACTTCTGAAGCTTCCCTCTCCCTCTGTTGTTGACTGTTGGTGTGATAATTTATTTTTTATCACTGATAAAACAAACAACAACTATAAAACTTGCACCAGACATACGGAAATAATTACGAAACAATTACGAAACAATTTCAAAACAATTTTGAACCAATTACGAAACAATTACAAAACAATACAAAATAAATTGGAAAAATTGTTTCGATTTTTAATTACTCCTCACACTATTCCTGCATGGCTCAATATCGGATCGTAAGCTAATTTAAATACGAATTAATAACAAATTATGAAATTAACGAACGAAACCGCCCAGCCCTAGTTCATACCTACGGCACTGTAGGTATGTGCCACAGGTATGCTGTAGGTTTATCAGCAATAGAATGTGCACCTAAGAAGACCTGGTAGCTATTTCAGAAGTGAAGGAGGGATCGAATAAGGCCAGAGCAAAAAAAGGGGAAGGCTCAGCTGTTGAATATCACATTAGATCTTTTAATTAACCAACTCCACATTTAGCGGCATCCCTGCCCTAGATCCTGTATCTTCAAAGCGAAGTCATGCAATAAAATTGTACTCTGTCCAATGCATCTTGCTGTTCCGGGAAATGTAAGCGCTATGTCTCAGCTGCTCTATTTCCTTACAAACATTTGTATGTGATGTGACGATTGGGTTTTTAAAAGCCCTCTTTACATTGTAGCAAGTGTATCCGCTATGGTACCCAAGTCGGGCCTTTGTGGGAGAAGGAGATCCGCCTCTTGTCTATGCCAAAGCATTTCCATCTCATCCCAGATATACTTTATACATGCTCAGGGGCAGTTTCATATTCATCCTTACTGCAAACATCACAGAATAAATCTGGCAATGTGAGATGCTTTGGCAGCAATCCCTGCATGTCTTTGTGTTACTTGTCCTCTGGGGCATCTCCACCCTTTCTCTTCGGAGCCGTGCCTTGCCTCAGGGCCTTGGTGGCTCGGATCCAGTTCTCTCAACGTGTTTCTGTGGGAGGAAGAGCCCCGGCGTGGGCTCCAGATGCACATCCATTCATAAAAAGAGACACTTTAGAAGTGCACCGCATCTGTTTCTCATCCAGGCGTGATGTTTTGAAAGTCATGTTTTTTTGCTGCTTGATAAATGATGTTGGCTTGACCCTGCTGCAAAATGTTTTTCTTGTAACTGAATTCCCAAGTGATCAATTTTCTCTTGCTGCAGAGCCGTTGCCCAACACAACGCAGGACATTTTGGAAACTTGTTTCCTCCCTTGGCTGTTGCAATATTAAATTTCACTTGACGAGGTTCAGGAAAGACGGAGAAGGGTCCTATAAAGTTTAAGAGTGTTGTGCAAATCACGTAGTGCATTGATGGCAAAGGAAACATTTGAATCTCTGTTTGTGTGCGTGCTTGCAAATGAAAACGTACACCAGTAAACATGCCTCTCATTCTCCAAGTACGTGTTCTTGTATGTGGCCAACAACTCCCACATTTCCTCCAATCAGGACAGATGAAAATGCTGTCCGATCTCTTTCATGTGTGATCTGGTGTTTGGCGTGTCTGTTTATTGCAACTCTATACTCCCAGTCATCAGAGTTTCTGAGAATATGCGGCGTACATTGAAAACATTAAATCTAAACAATAAACAAGGATAAAAATCACTCTCAACAAAAGATTCCCCCCAGGCACTTCCAAGCCATTGAATGCTAATCAAGGTGATCAGCTGAAACATTCACACCTAGCCCCAGCAGACAAAAGTCCTTTGTCTCACCCTGGTCATTCCACAGATATATAAACCCATTTTCCTAGTTCCAACAGACCTCACTACCTCTGAGGATGCTTGCCATAGATGCAGGCAAAACATCAGGAGAAAATGCCTCTAGAACATGGCCATATAGCCCGGAAAAACCTACAACAACCCAAGGATAAAAAGGATAGAAACAAGGATAAGAACACAAAAAAACCAAAAGCACACTAAAATCAGCAGCAAAATGGAATAGTGCAGACAGGGCCTTCTCAGTGGTGGCTCCTTGGCTATGGAGCTCCCTCCTTAGGGATATTAGATTGGTCCCCTCCCTACTGAAAAAAGTTAAAAAACTGACTTTTTGAACAAGCCTTTGAAAACACAGTGTAATGGATAAATATGGAACCCAGGAAAGGATGAACATGGAACGGCTTGACAACGTCTTTGGAAAATTAGCTAATAGGAAGTTACTGGTGTTGTATGACTTTAATGCTTTTATAAGGTTTTTATAATGTGTGTTAATTGTTTTTAATTTTGTTTAGAATTTTGTTAATGTTCATTGTGACATTGAATCGTGCCAGTGTAAGCCACCTTGAGTCGCCTTCAGGCTAAGAAAGGTGAAATAGAAATGCAGTAAATAAATAGATAAAAAACATTTCCCAGCCTTCCTAATGCTGAGAGCCCTTAAAAGTGCTGGTTTTGGCCTATAAACTCTAAATGGCCCTTCTGGGGAGACCCTGCTCTCAGCCTCACCACCATCACAGGCACATTTGGTGGAGACAAGAGACAGGGCCTTCTCAGTGATTGCCCCCAGTTATGGAACTCCCTTCCTTGCAATATTAGATCAGCCCCCTCCCTCCTGGTTTGGTCCCACAGGATGGTGAAGACCTGGCTGTGGGACCAAGCCTTTGTGGCAGTGCAATGAGGCAATGATAGAATGGTGTCCTGAGACGGTTTTTAAGCAATGGATTTTAAAGTGGATATAAGTGATATTAATGTTTGTATATATTTATGGTTTTATGTCCCAGCATTTAATGTTTGCCATATATATGTTGTGATCTGCCCTGTGGGTTGAGAAGGGCAGAATATAAATGTTTTAAATAAATAAATAATACACTTCCTCATGTTGTGGCGACGCCCAACCTTAAAATTATTTTCGTTGCTACTTCATAACTGTCATTTTGCTACTGTTATGAATCGTAATGTAAATATCTGATATGCAG